CTATAGTTTAAATGCTCCGCTATATACAGTAAAACCTTTCTATGAAGTATTTTGTTTAAATAGAACATATAGGGCCAGCCCGGTTGCGCACTGCTACAGTGCACCGCTTGGGGTCGCTTGGGAGTGCGGCGGCGCTCCCACCCGAGGGTTCGGATCCCACATACAGACCGGTTCCCGCTCACTGGCTGAGCGAGGTGCGGGCGCAACACCGAGGGTTGCGATCCCGTTGCCGGTCCCGGTCCGGTACGGGCGCGACACTGAGGGTTGCGATCCGTTGCCGGACACGAAAAAAGACAGAAAGGAAAAAATAAATAAATAAAAATAAATAAATAAATAAATAGAACATATGTTGGCCTACAATTATTTATTCCTTTCTTGCTTTTTAAAGAATGATTTAAAGGACCTGTTTACAGTGACTTATAATACTTGGAATTGTGAATCAAGACCTTGAGAGTAGTTACTACATTTATTATAATATGAAGGCACTTCAAAAAGTTTGTGGAAAAATAAAATTAAAAGATAATGTAAATCTCTCCAAGAACTCTTTGAAGTACCCTCATGTATACCTCCTTTTTTTTGGCTGACAAAACTAGTATTGTTTAAGTCTTTAGAAGTGAATGTGTCTTTCCCAATCATTTGTTTTTCCATTTTCATTTATTTATTTTTGATTAGCATATAAAATTGAGTGCACTTCTGGTGTACAGCATGGTTTATGCTACATATACAATGTAGAGTGGCTCAATCAAACTAATTAGCATGTCCATTACAACACATACTTATTGTTTTGTGATGAGAATCTACACTCTTAGCAAAACTTGAGTGTACAATACATTGTTATTAACTATCGTCACCATGTTGTACAAGAAATCTCTCAAACGTAAAAAAAAAAAGCTGAATATCTAAAGCAAACTTTATTTTCCCTAAGTCTGCACAACTGCTTTCATCTCCTCTTATAATTTCTTAGAAAACAAAATACTCTGATTAGTTCCTACATACTCTGAAGCTAGATCGAGGCAAACTCTTTTTAGCAATTGCTCTTCAGTTTATGAGCTTCCATTCCACTCCCTAAAGGGAGGAAGTATGTCATAGGGATTGAGCAGAAATTTTGATCACAATTTACCCCATTGTCTGCCTTTGAAGTATCTTTCAAGAATCTTAGGTGCCTTTGTAGCACCATTGAAATACTGTCAAATTTTATTCAGTTGCTGGATCCCCTTGCATTTGAAGAAGATTCTCTAGCAGCTGCACCACATTGATTTGCATAACTACTCTGCATCCCTCTAAATCACAAAATGTTTTATGATAGATTCGTTTGGATGATATGTGTTTGGAACCAAGTGCCTAAACAATGCCAATATTCAAATTTACTAGCCCCTAGGATTAATCTGATCACCAAATCTTTGACATATTCTTAAATTCACTTCCATGCAATACTGAACTTTCTTTTTCCAGGTTCATCCCTTGACTTGGAATTTATGGTCTCAAGAATGCCAGGAAAGGAATTTTTTTTGATAATCTATTTTGCATAGGACCAAGTCATTTTTGCAATAAAATAAATTCTAACATAAGATTCCCAAGACCATACCAGACAACCATGACAATCCATTGCAAAAAACTTCCCTTGACAGGGGTTGTAAAATCAGAAAGGGTTCAGTCAACTACATGTAGAAGAATTGATTGAACTGGCCTAAGTTGAAATTTTCAAGTATTAAATAGGCTTAATGAATTATTTGTACCTCCCAGGCAGCTGTTGTCCTTAATTTATAATCATAGATTCTGCATAGTGACAGGGAATGAATGTATAACTCTTGTCTTTACATATACCAAAAGCTTGGTGAAAAAAAACCAGCTATATTGTGGCAGAGGTAGATTACAACATATATGCCCTTCTTCAAGGGTCTACATGCTTTTCCACTAATCCCAGCCCCCACATATATGATAATATCTCCAAATGAAGAGTCACAATGTTTTCAGTTCTTATCCAGAGTCTTGAGCATGCTGGGAAAGGACATATCCTTTGGCATTAGCTTTTCATCCAGCCAAGCCATCCTTGGTAGATGATGTAGGAAGTTCTAACACAAGATGACCAGGAATCAAAGCTCCTGCACCCAAATTGTCAGTACAACATGCTCTAAAGCAATGCCTTTAAAAACAGATGCAGCTACCAATTAAACAAAGCTATCAGCAGACAGACTCTTTTTTGGAAATGCTGATAGTGCTCAGTGGTTTCAAATGTAGATTGAAGCTAAGTGCATATGGTAAAACAAAAAAAAAAAAAATCCTCCTACATTCAGAAGTTCTCATTTCCTCCCTCTGATTGTGCACTTTATATAATGTTCCCCTTGGGTTCATCATGTGAGCTGTCACATTATGAGCTGTGACTCGTCTGCAGCTCTGAGCTGGGTGCCAGACCTATTACTACTGCCGATTATATTAAAGTGCTCTTTTCACTGAAGCTACTGAAATGATTACAGCCAAAGCTGAATCTGGTTGCTGCTTCAAAGGCTGGTGGTGTGAGAAAGAAGACAGATCCTTCTGAGACTTCACACTTTGGTTATTTATTAATACTCAGCCAACTCAAGAAAAAAATGGGGGAAAAAACCCCAAGCAATTATGTCATTCAGGAGACATAATCAATAATATGTTTTAATTGATTATTCAGCTATATATGCTGATGAAAAATACATGTGTACATTGAGTGCCTTTGATAAAGTACAAGTAAATAAATCTATACAAGATAAAAACAGCAAACAACTGGTGAATCTTTTTCTCAACTGTGGTTGTCTTCCAAATTTGAATGTTAATGACAATAGAGGACCGAATTAGTGTTTCTTTATAAATTATCTTTAGAAAAAATAAAAAGACACTGATACTTTTTGATCGTAGAAAATATAGGCAGAGGTTCAGAAATCAATTTTGTTGGAACCAAGAGTTCAATAAAGGACATGATTTTGACAGTCTTTTAGAATCCATGAAACTACAGAAATTTTGCTCCATAAAAAACAATGGTAAAAAACATATACATGAAAATTATCTGGCAAACTTTAAAGGGACACTCGGATGTCACTTCAGATTTAAACTTTGACCAGTGCTTAGAAGCTTTGACATTCAAATTGATTAGAAAATTGGTCAGTAACCAATATTTAAGCAATACAATCATAAAAACTGTTTCAGCAGGGCTTAATTTGACAGCTGAGCCATGAAAAGACATAACCATTTACTTAAAATGTATTAAAACATAAGATGATCCTTTCTGGAATGAGCTTGGGAGGAAAAGGTTCAGATTTTGAATTATGTAAATGTTTCTATTAACATGTGCTCACAACAGTATATCATAAAAGTATTCTAACCCTATTGCCTTGCTTGGCTTTTACTCAATTCCCAGTTTCCAGATAGTGAAAAGGATCTCATGGTCTGAGTGGACCCTCAGCCCACACTAGTAGCATATGTTTGGCATTTTGGATCCCGTTCTGCAAGGGGTACAAATAAAAAGGGTAACATGAGGGGCTGGAGGACTCTGACCCCTAGGTAGCTGGAGATAGTTACTCTAGAAGACAGAAGGGTTCTAGTGCACAGCAGTTCTGAGGGTTTTACACAAGGTGAGTCACAGAGCTGACATTCTCACTTGAGTATGCCTACTTTAGAGATGCACCTCACATTGTGGCTAAGTGGGGGAGTAGACAATTGGTTATAAAATCCTAAATAGCCAATGCATGTCAGTATGGACACTCCCACTGAGCTGGAAATGACTGCTTTGCACTATTGCTGATTTCAAATAGATGTATAAAAGCAAAGCAAAACAAAACTGTTTTGCCACCAAAGCCATCAGAAGTGATTTAGCCAGGCTGAAAAATGCATCCATAAAATAATTTATTTTAATCTCTGCATGAGCCTCCCTCACATGATGGGCAGAACTTTGGTAAGCAGAGAGAAGAAACATTCACACAGGCAGAGAACGGCATAAACAGAGGGCTCAAGGTGGAAAAGCACCAGAGTTTACCGGAGTGCAGGATGGGACTGGAAAGGAAGCCCAGGCACCTGCCTCTACCAGGATTTCTGTGGATGCAAATCAGAAGTATGGGAATACTCTGAAAGGATTATTTTTTAACCTGTAAGATGGACTGAGATGGCATTCTTCAGTATTTTAAAGTTTTCTCTGAGCTTTCTGTTGAAATTTTCCAAATCTGGAGGAGGCACGTTTAGTGGTCATAATCATTAACCATTCATGCTCATACAATGGGATTCTTCAGCCCCACTCCCCCTGACCTGGAAAGTCTGGGAGTCCTATGGACACGCCCAGGCAATACTCTTTTATGGGCACTGTTCTCACTGAATTCTTATACTGCAACAAGTTAGGTATTCTGTTACCCTTTTTTGACAACCAAGAGAGATGAAGACGTTAAAAGATAAACGAATAAACCATCTACCTAAGGTCACACTTTGCAGCCTAAGAGATCCTTCCTGGACACTTCTCCCAACAGATACCCCAGAGTTCGGATAGGCCTGGGGGTTAGAAATGAGCAGGCATGCAGGATGCACTGGCTTTCGTATCAGGAGTTCTGGTTTCCCAGACATGTGGCCAGCTATCCAAGGCTAGCCCCTGCCCTGTGGAAAGGTTTCCCCTTAGAAAAATTAGACAGAGAGAACCAATGTGCAGCCCCTCCCAGCCTTGACTCTCCAAGCTGACTGTCCTCCAGGAAGAGTCCAATCCCAAACCTGCCCTCCTCAAGTGCACTGTAGATCTTGCCACCTGCTCTCTAAATCTTGTGTCTAAGTTCTGAGTAGGTGGGAAAACTAAGGCCCAGAGAGGTTTTCAGCCTTATGGTGAGTAAGACTGAAAGCCTCAAGTATAGCCCTCTATCCTCAGCTCCATGTTCCACACTCTCAACAGCCACTAAAGCCCACAGCATGGCTGAATTCCAGTTCTGGAGATCCACAGTGCAGCCCGGAACACGGTCATTGCCATTTTGAACTCACCGCTAATTATTCTTGATACTTACCATTAGACTGTCTTTCTGAGAAGGTGCCTTTACAGATGCCCCCATAGAAATTTACTTGATTTTTTTTTCCATATCAGCACATTTTTCCCCTATTGAAAGAAAAGAGAAATATATCATGCTAGTCAGTAAAAGAGAAGAAGCTAACATTTCAAAATCAATGCTACCTTCCTTCTAAGCTTTCTGTCTTTTGTCTTTTTTTTTTTTTTTTTCCGTGTCCGGCAATGGATCGCAACCCTCAGTGTTGCCCCCGTACCGGACCAGGGACCGGCAACGGGATTGCAAACCTCGGTGTTGCTCCCACGCCTCGCTCAGCCAGTGAGCGGGAGCCGGTCTGTATGTGGGATCCGAACCCTCGGGCGGCAGCGCTGCCGCGCTTCCCAAGCGGCGCACCATCCAGTGCGCCACCGGGCCGGCCCCTTTCTAAGCTTTCTTATGGGTGGTTGCAAGAACTAGCTGGTAGAGGCATTAAGTAATTATTAACTTGTTCCCTAATAAACCAATCAACTAATCAAGAGAGGTGACCAACACAGGCACGGCTTAATGTGGATCCTACATCCAACCATAAGGCCTTTGGGTTTTGTAGCTCATGAGCACATTATAAATCCTGGAAAGGTAGGATCATATTTCAATAACTTTTTACATTTTTTGATTGAAACATAATTGATTGTACATATTTGTAGGACACAGCATTGAATATCAATACCTGTGTGCAATATGTGATGCTCAAATCAGGATAATTACTATATTTGTCATTTCACAATGTAATTATGTTTTAGATTACTCATAACACCTAGCACATGTATTTATTAGTATGCATTTCATAAATACTGTTGATTAAAATACACTTGTGAAAATGAATCGATACCTAACAACAACCATAACACATTTATCTCCACTGACCCTTCTATAGTTATGCAAAGTAGTTATTATCACGTCTATTTTACTTTTAGAAAAACTGACATTCAGATGTTAAATTACACAGCTCATAAGCTCTGGAGCAGGAAGTTCGACCTAAGACTCTCTTGACTCCAAAAACCATGCACATTTTTCAAGATATCAAGCTACTTCCTCATCCAAACAAATATAAAAATAATAATAATAATAATAATAGTAGTTATAATAGTTAACATGTATATATAGGGGGTCATCACTGAATGTACTGAATGCTTTATATAAACTAACTGTGTTTATCTTCTCAAGAAACGTGTAAGTATGTATAAGCCTTACCGACATTAGTTAGTTGAAAAGAAGGGATTTGATACCAATAGCAAAGACAGCCCCATAATGCATGAGGCACGTAGCATAAGACCTCAAGTAATGGTAGCTACTGCAACTGTTTTATTAGTATTGAGACTTCGAAACTGCTGTATCTCCATTTTCAGTGATCACAGCTTAGCTCACACCCACGGGACACTGTTACATTCACAATTACCGAGTGAAAGATGCATGTGTACTTCACAAAAGTTTTACAAAAATTACTGTGACTCATGTGTGGCTGACTATACCTTTGTCTTGTGATAGGGGAAAGAAAAACTTTTTGTCAATCTTTATTTTAGGTTTGAATTTTTGTTTTTCCGCTTGCTCAATTTTGTTTACGTACATAAGTGAGATGGACACACTAATGGTATTTGCATGTGATACCTTTATTTTCAAATCTGATACTGCTAAAATTTGATAGGATAAAATATTCCCACCGTATAGTGTTCAATAGGTAATTGTGTAGCTTAAGGGGACTCCCTAGAAAGAACTCACTCGTCCACACAGGTTCTCTATGGGAGGACCGTGTTCCATGCTTTTGTGCTCTATGACAGACCTGTTTCAACCCATTCTACCTGCATCCCTGACGATCACGATTCTCTTTCAGGGCCCTACGCACTACCTTCAGTGCAGATTGCACCATGTCTCCTGCTATCCATGGTTAAGTACTTTCCCAATATGTTTCTTTTTCTTCTTTCTTTAATTGAAACATATTGAGTATGCATATTTGTGGGATACAGATGTATAGTTCAACACATGTATGCAATGTGTGATGATCAAATCAGGGTAATTCGTATAGTCAGCACTGCAAAACTTAATCTTTTTTTTTTTTTGGTGATAGGGACATTTGATCTCTTCTTATCTAGCCATGTGATACCATGCAGTAAATTATTGTTAATTATAGCTGCCTAGTTCAACGGTACACCAATAGAACTTATTTCTCCTACATAGCTGTTTTCTGGCCATTAACCAACCTCTTGTCCTCCAACATTTCCTGCCTACAGTAAACACAGTTCTGCTCCCTCCTTCTAAAGATTCTATTTATTTATTTATTTATCCTATCTATCTATTTATTTATTTTAGCTCCCACCTATGAGTGGGGAATGCAGTATTTCACTTTCTCTGCCTGGCTTATTTCACTTAACGTAATTTTCTCCAAGCTCACCCATGCTGCTGCAAATGGCAGAATTCCATTCTTTTGTATGCCTGAGTAGTATTCCAATGTGTGTTTGCTTCTTCTTAAAGGATAACTCTTCATAGGTGAGCTCACAACACAACGTTATTCCAGACTGCTTTTTGTGTTGAGAAAACCCCCAAAATTAAGGACCCAGAGGCAGACAGGTGTTCTTTATTATATCCATAAGCTATGCCATGTGAGTGCTAACTGTGGATATCAAAGGAGTATCCAGATGGTGGACACTCCTCCATTCCATGAACCCACATCTCCATTTTTCTCTTTTGTCCTCTGCTACATGATTCATTGTGGGACATGATATGGACAATATTACTTCATGTACTTAGAGCTAAGTACAAGGCACTTTCATGTGGTTGATGTAGTCTTTCATAGGTTAAAGAATAAATTCCCTAGAAGAAAATTCTTGACTTTACTATGAAATTAGTTCTTGATGACCTATGGTAGAAGGCTAGAAACAGGCACAAGTCTGATAATCTGCAAATTTATGTGAGATTACATTTTATAATCTAAATTTTCTCATAAAAACCATACTCTTCCATACATATATCATTTGCAATGACTTACACTGTAATTAGTAAGTTTTTGATTTCTATGTGAAAGCACCTTTCAAAAACATACACAATGTGTGACAAATAGATATTTATATAGACAACGTGGACTAAAGATGGGAAGGTAGTAATTCAAGCCATATTTGTGAAGTACTAATATTTTAGCAAATGCTACCTTAAAAATCTTTCGTCATTTTAATGGAATCTTAGTATGCAGAGAATACATAGGTCAAAGCATACACACCTTTTGAGAATATCAGATGAGGAAGCTGTGAATATATTCCACACTACGATAATGTTTCAAATGATCCACTCCATATAATTTTGTCTTTACAGCTGAAGGTTTGGGGGTTCATAGAGATGTTCACAGCCATTCTAGCTCGCCCTGGGTAATCGGTCAAGAAGACACCTAAGACATAAGGCATAAGGGGATAAACGTTTTCATCTAAGATAACATTGATGTAACTCTGTGATGCAATCTCTCTCCTCAAGGTTTTTTGGGGGGAAGAACAGCACTAAAGCAAGTGCTTATAATTGCATGAGCTCCTATACTGGTGACACAGGAAGAGAGAGAGTCATGCTCAGAAGTGGTGACATCTCAGAAAATGCCTCAGGAGAGGACCTCCAAGATGATCTGGGAAGAGGAGTGAGAGGGCAGCCACATGTGTCACAGGATGGCCCAGGGAAAGCAGGAAGTAGAAACTGCACCAGACCCTCCAGGGACCTCAGAATGTCTGGGCCATGATTACAGCCAAGGGTTCCCATGGCTCTGACTCCATCCATGAATAATGTCTGCATCAAATCTTACACACGCATGCACATGCCAAAACAGGAAAGTATAAAACCTAAAGATATTTCTGAGGGATTTTAAGTTTAAAAAGAAAATAGGATAATTCATCTTTCATATAGGTTATTATTACTATTATCTATAGTCGCAGTAGCCTGCTAAATAAAAGGGACAACTTTAATTTTGGTAGATTTCTCAAGTAGCTTCAAAAATAAGGTGTGTTCAGGTAGATTTTAGTGGGGTCATTCTAGATATTTCCAGATGTACATACAAATGGCCAAATTAATATAAATGACTTTAATGCATACACTGCTTCATCTCACCCAAATTTTATCTCCTCCTCTCTAACTTCAGGTAGATTTTAGTGGGGTCATTCTAGATATTTCCAGATGTACATACAAATGGCCAAATTAACATAAATGACTTTAATGCATACACTGCTTCATCTCACCCAAATTTTATCTCCTCCTCTCTAACAGAACAATCGTCCAAATTATATCCATTTTTTGAAAAGTTGCAGACTGAATAAAACTTCTGTTTCTGTCTTGCATGGGCTCCCAGTTTTGTTTTGTTTTTTTATGCCATGTTTAACTTATTTAATTTTTAGCATTTTGAAAATCAAGAAAACTATAAAGAGGAAAACTTCTATTTAGAATTTTAGCAGAATAAGTTACAAAACAGATCATTGATTTTATATAGTTCTACTGTTCCCAAATCATTCCACAAATGTGACAAACTCTCAAGCAATTAATTGAGTGGCCACACTGGTAGTTTTGACCCAAATCTCTACAACAAAATTAAAAAGCACGTACAGTCATCTACCTGCTGAGCGGGGGGAAAATATTATAGCACAGCAGATTTATAGCTTTGGTGTTAGAATACAAAGTATTAAACTCCAAAATACCTAATATTCTAAAAATGTATCACTCCCAATTTTCTAAGCATGGACCACTATGAGAAATTTGACAAAACTTTTCTGTTGCACCGTCTTTAACAAAGCACAGAAAAAGTTGTTAAAAACTGTAGAGGTAGTATGAATATCTATGAAGAAGATTTTAAATACCTCAGGTACCACACGGTCTCACTCATATGTAGAAGCTAAAACATATCTATCTATCTATTTATCTATCTATCTAATGTTTTGTAGTAATGGGTACAAAACTATGCTATCTACTCTAAGTGAGTCATTGTGCAGTATATGCGTGTATTGAAACAACACACTGTACACCACAAAAATAAATATAAATAAAATACCATAGCCAAAAACAAATTAGATGAAATATTTAAAATATAAAAAGATTTTAAAAGATAAATAGGCATTTAGAAATAAACTACTTAAACGTGTTGACTGACCAATACATTTTCAGTAAACCACGCTAGTTTAAACACATCAAACTGAACAATCCAGGGAGACCCATGCTTCCTTAGGTGAAATAGGGACTTTCTCCTAGAAGCTGGTAAAATGGTCAAAGATGGTCTTTCCTTGGATCTGTCTAGCTTGACTGCATGCCTAAGAAAACTACAATGGTGGAGTTTAACCCTTTTCCTTACCATGCAACACTTGATTTTCTCACTCATCCACAGAATATCTAGAGTGTTTTACAACTAGTCATTTCTTCCATAAATACCCAGTGAACACCACTCTACTCCAGACTCATACAATGCACATTTTAGGGGAACACAGGAAAACATCCATCCCCTACCCCCCCATGCACATGTACACATACATAAGGAACAGAAAAATAAAACGCTTTCAAGTTTGAGTGCACTCTGAGAAGGAGCTAAATATGAGCACAACAGAGGGTGGGACCTGCTGTAAATGGTAAAAGAACAGGATGTTCGGAGCAGAGAAAGAGGCACACAGAGAAGCCCTAATGTGGAATATGCCCAGTTACAGCAAGAAACAAAAAGATAACTGGTCTACCAGTGCAGTAAACAGAGAACACCATGGGATCCTCCTGCGGAAGTGGATAAGAGTCTAATTGTGTAAAGCCAAATAGGTCAGTGAAAGGAATTCGGGGATTATTCTAGGTGTAATGTGAAGGCATCCTTTGTGAGACATTTTAGACTAGGAACATAGCATAGATGAATAACGTGAGGATCAGCCTTCCACACTTACTATGAGCCCATGTTGAGGTGCTTTGCATGCTAAACTTTATTTTGTGCACCTGCCTAGAGGTAGGCACTCTTTTCACAGCCCCCTACAGATGAGGAAACTGAGACCTAGGAAATCAATGACTGGAATGCACACAGCTGGGAAGAGGCATCAGGTCTCCTGTGTCCTCTGGTAGAAATGGATGAGTTCCAAGGAGACATCAGAGAATTAAGGAAGGCGGGACAAGGGGCAGAACCATAGCCCTAAGTAACGGATCAGGTGTGCATATGAGACACTGGGATAAGACACTAACCCAGGTTGAAAGAGAACCTGAAAAGGATGAGAAAACAAGAAACCCAGGACCTAGCACAGAGGACAAGGGGCAGAACCATAGCCCTAAGTAACGGATCAGGTGTGCATATGAGACACTGGGATAAGACACCAACCCAGGTTGAAAGAGAACCTGAAAAGGATGAGAAAACAAGAAACCCAGGACCTAGCACAGTGATTTCCACAGATGCTCAGTTTGGACGGGACATTAAATACCTGGAGAAGTGACTGCTAACTGATGTTGTGACGATGGCGATGGGGTAGAGTAGGGAGGACAGTGCATACTTATGGGTGATTTTTGAATGGGATGGTAGTCATATACAATCTATTATTCAGGAAGATGAAGAAGGAATTGTTTAAAAGATAGATGGGAGAACGTGATAGGTCATAGGCAGGGAATTATTAAAATAGTCAAACGTATAGCAAGAAGATCACCAAGGGATGTAAAGACATGTCACAGTGGGAGAACTGCCAGGACCTGGAAAGGGATTTATGTTAGGGATACAAAAGAAAGAGTATTCAAATACAAGATGAGGGACCACATGGAAAAGTTGGCATTTGCAGGATAAAAGAATGCAGGGAACAGGGTAAGCTTGACAGGAACCATGCCAGGCCAATTTTGGACACACCAAATTTGAGTTTGGGGCAGAGCATTTCAGCAGCATTATCCCAAAGGGAGCTGGAAAGCTGGGATGTGGCTTGAGGGAGAAGTCAGAGCAGAAAGTAGAGCCATGTCAGTCCCCTGGGTGGAAGTGATCGTCAGACCATGAGTAGATGCCAAGCTACAGAAGACAGTATGGACGGAAGAGAAGCAGCCGAGGATGGGATTCAGGTAGCAACCATCACTGAGGAGTCAGGAGAGGTGGAGATTCAGAGAAGTTAGTTACACGAAAAGAAGGGCAATAGAGGAGAAATAGGAGGGCTTTGGAGTTCAAAGAACATTCCTCAAAGGACGGACAATGAACAAGTCAGAGTCTATTGGGGAAACTCTAAAGAGGATACAGCATTGTTGGGGGGTCAGCCCCTGATGTGGCTGGATGGATAACCAATGGGATGTAGGTGTGCTCTCAGGAAACATAAATAAACATGCATATATGCATATATATGAGAAGTGAGAGTTAAGTCAAGAAATGGTTCTTGGTGAGAGTTCCTGCTCTTGAGGTCCTCTGTGCCAGGAAACTAATAGTTTTGGGAATGACAGTAGAATGGTTGTGAAGGGCTTGATAATGGGAGGACTGAAAAATAATCACCTCTCAAAGTCTATCAATTACCTTATAATCACCAAAAAATAACACCTTCCCTGTCAGTCTCATGGATCTGCACAGTCTCTGACAATGTGGACGTCCACCCACCTTTGGAACCCTCTCTCATCCCTCAGTTAAGCGACCGTAAGTTAGTCCCAGCCTCTTACAGTGACTCACGGCCTCGGTCTCTATCCAGTCATTTGCTGGGTCCCATCAATACCATTCATCCAGTGCCTCTCAGGATTGTCACACCTTCCCCACGCCCTCAGTCTCTACCATCGCTAGATCTCAACTTATGCACTTAGACTCTCACCT